GACCAAGCGCTGGTTATCGATTGGATCGCGGGCTCATATTGGGTTAGCTTGTTGGAAACAGGGCAGGATTGCTCGGAAGCCAGTTTACGCTAACCCAGGTTGAAAAGTTAATCGAATTATAACTTTTTCTTCTATACAAATGTGTTTTGCTGTTTTGTTTTGTGTATATGGTGATTATTAAAACTCAAAACAGAAGGCCAAACAATYTACAGAAACCTCACCGCAAAGTTACAAAACTCAAATCAAAATTCTACCTTTTTCTGGGTTAGCTTAATCGGGCTTTGAACAACCCGGCCCAGGAGCTACGCTTTTAGGCTGGCCTAAATCTATATATTATTTTTTTTTACATGAGGACTTCTTAAAAGGGAAATGTTGACATTAAGATTTTATGTTCTGATCTTTCCATGCTATGAGATGGCCGTCAAAAGTTTTTGGTTCCATTTCATGCACTGCTTTTCACATGTGTACATGTTCCATATATATCAGGGATGTCATCAAGTTTTGGGTCACCTGTAGCCTGGTTCTCCACAACTGTACCAGACTTGTTATTTTGTGGATGAATTATATCAACAACAAGCAATTTCACTCATAGCATCAAGGGAAAATTCCAAATTGAATGAGAAAGACCATGTGATTACTTATTAATACTATAAACATGAAAACATTTGCATGGAGGAAGTGCTGGAAGACCTCTCTTGAAGCCATTTTTTCTCATTCGAGAACTTTTCTCAAAGTTTGCACACAAAATTTTTGTCACCATTTTATGTAATATCATTGGCTTAGAAAATTTCCTATTGTCTTTCAGCCAATCATAATCCAGAATTATGATGTGTAATTTGCACTGGTGTTACACTTTTTTCACTGGTGTTACACTTTTTGCACTGGTGTTACATTTGAACTGCACTGCTCTCAGCCAATCAGAAGCGAGTAATTTTTTCACGTATATTATTAATACAGAAATCATGTAAAGTATTTTAACCTGGAAACCAGCCACCCACTGATATAAACGCTGTTGTTTGATAGAGTAACATGACTAACTATCATCTACACTGGTCCCTATTTTCCTGGCCATTCACTGACTTTCGAGTCAAACACCATTAAAGTCTGTAGCTTACCAGATTTTGCCGACTGGCCTCCTCAGCTAATCGTCTATCTACAGCAGCCATGTTCATCATGAGTTTGGCAACAATCTGCTCTGCCTGTAGTACAGGTACAAAAAAGGAATGAACTTTTATCTTTTGTTCTCATCTTGGACATTTGTCAGCAATTTCAAGTGATGAAAAATTTCAACATTAAAACTGAGCATCAGATTCCAGCATTTTGGTAAGTCAAACATACAGTGCTCTTGGGCTTTTATGTATACATACTATGGTTACACTGCATGTGTTAAAGTGTGATACATCATAACTGCAAGTAACTACAGTTATATGTAATTGCCACAGGGACTGTTTTCCAGTCACGAGTGGAGTGGAATTTTGATTTCTCAAAGCTTCACAGGGAACAAAAATTGGTTTGAGAAATCCATAGTTACAGGTATCAGGGGTTAAATTAGGGAGAAACAAAATACAAAAGAAAGGACATTTGGTTTGAGCCTGGGGAAGGGGGGGGGGCACTGCCATATATGGGCTATATAGGTATGTACCGCTGCAAAGGGTATGGTTTTCAAACAGTATATACTAGGATATATATGTCTAGGATAGGATAGGATATATATCTAGGATAAGGTATATAAATCAGAGCATTTGGGTCTAGAATAGGGTATCATTTTTCGCAAAACTGACTGGTTGGTTGAAGATTTTACCTAGAGTAAGGAAACCAGGAATTGCCACTCAAAAATATAAAAAAATCAAACCGCAAGTTTAAATTTACGCAAATCAGTCTCAACAGTGTCAATAGATTTGGGGATTTTACTCTCGTATAGATTAGCAAAATTCAGCTGAACTAGCTCTGGTATAGGCTAAGGGTTCCAGGGTCCCAGCGGCACATCCCCACCCAGAAATTCCCAAAGTACCCCCCCCCCGGGGTTTGAGTTTTTGGGAGGATAAGAAATTGTGGAGTTATGTTGCAAGATGCATGGTGTTACAAAATGTAGTCTAGCTGTTGCAGGGCTCAGGATATATTAAGAATCTTCACTATTTTGGGTAAAAGGATATAAAAATTTTACTACTGGTTTATGAATACTTAATATATATTAATAGTTGTTTATAAGGCCTTAAAAGTGTAACTCACCTCTTCTTCCGAGAGTTCTGTGTTCTGCAAGAGATCTGTTCTTAATTTATCCTGAAGTTCCATTCTCTCTGAGGTCTGTTGATGATGCACACAGAGGTAAATGATTAGCAAATAAGTACTATGGCAGAGAACATTGCTCAATAACCATCACCATCTTTTAAAACTTGTACACTAGTAAAGACATATTTATCATGAGAAAGATAAATTAAATGCAGTACACTACATACTGTATTTAATTGTTATGGGTAGGTAAAGGAAACAATCACATTCACAGTTATTGTAAGACTGTCTGAACAATCATCATTTATGAATACAGAGTATGCATGTAATATTCACCATTTTCTTGGAGTACTTGGAATGAAGACTCTCTATTGCTTGATCAAGTTCCACTGGATCTACAATGGTGTTTCTCAGCTCCTTTGGATTGAGAAAAAACTCAGTTTCAAACAAGAACTTAAGATCATTATAGACAAAAATTTCACCGGCTTTCATTCATTCTTTTGATTTTTCCTGCACAGAAAGCAGCATAATACAACAACAACAACAATCTTTATTTCGTGCCCAGAAAAATTTTACAATAAAAATAAATAAATGCAATGTGAAAAAATAACAATGAAAAACAGAGCACAGCCACTTAGAAATAGCTAAGGCTAATCGAGCTAAGGGGCTGGGCCAAGTGGAAAAAATATTGCAATAAAGTTACAGAATATATGAAAAAAAACAAAACAAAACAAAAAAAAAACAGGACACGATTTCATTCACACACACACACACACACACACA